TAGAGACGGGGTTTCACCATGTTAGCCAGGATGGTCTCGATCTCCTGACCTCGTGATCCGCCCGTCTCAGCCTCCCAAAGTGCTGGGATTACGGGCTTGAGCCACCGCGCCCGGCCTTTTTTTTTTTTGAGACGGAGTCTTATTGTCACCCAGGCTGGAGTGCAGTGGCGTGATCTCGGTTCACTGCAACCTCCACCTCCTTGGTTCAAGCAATTCTCCTGCCTCAGCCTCCTGAGTAGCTGGGATTACGGGCGCCTGCCACCACACCCGGCTAATTTTTTGTATTTTTTAATAGAGACAGGGTTTCACCATGTTGGCCTGGCTGGTCTTGAACTCCTGACCTTGTGATCCACCTACCTCAGCCTCCCTAAGTGTTGGGATTACAGGCCTGAGCCACCGCCCCCAGCCTGTACATATCCATTTCTTTACACATCACAGCGTGAACCAAATATTGGCCAATGTGCAACACTGTTTTTTAATTCTTTATTGTTTTCTTCCAATCTGAATTGATTAGAAGACAAATTCCAGTTTTAGTTAAACTGGGGACGGGGGATAATGCTTATTAGGAAAGCCAAGTTTCAAGTGGAAAATCCTCCCTCCCCACAAGCACACATCAAGGATGGAGGAAGTCCTTCAGGAGAAATGAGATGCGTGCCTGCTGCTTAGAGCTGAGGTGTGTGTCTCAGCAGGACGGCACCTACAAGCTGAGGTTGACACCAGGACACTGGCTGTGTGATGTCTGGCAACTTACTTGTCTCTACAAGCCTTCATTACTCTGTACCTCTGGGAGAGCTAAGCACTCACCTCTTGAGGCCCCGAGGTCAGACAAAAGGAAACATAACACCTGTGAAGGGCCCTGCGGTGGACACGCCCGTGGTACAGCTGATCTGTTACTGTGACGGCCTAGGGGACCCACCTTTTCTTCTGCATTTTGGGGGTTCTTTCCAAGCTCTGCTTGGTGGTGTGAACGCCACAGGGACACATACTTCATGAAAGTGTTCGGTATGGGAGCCACCCGCGTCCCCACCAGAGCTCCAGGGCCACTGTGAACGTGTGGAAATGCTTCCTGGGACCAGTCCCTGGGCCTCCGGGGCCACTAACTCCCCTATAATCACACCGCAGTCACAGGAAATGAGAAGTGTCCCATTCAAATATAACCAAAGTCGCCCCCTTTGAGAAATATTGGGTTAGAGCTGGGGGCTGGCAAATGTTTTCCCAAAGGGCCAAATATCAAGGGACATATAAATGTAACCATTTAGAAATGTAAAAACTGTTCTAGGCTCCGGCCATAGAAAAGCCTGGAACTGGTGCGTGGATGGCAGCCGGCTGACCTCTCGTGCTGAATGACATTCAAGTGTGGTTCTGCTCCTTTAAAAACCTGCTGCTGCTCAAAGGAGCTTGTTTCTGCCTCTGTGGGGCTGCAGGGACCTCACAGAGCCAGGCGTGCCTGGGCAGGGCGTACCTGCTTCCGGTAGGGCGTGATGACGCCAATGTCGCTGGCAGACACCTGACTGGAGATACTCTGGGCCAGGAGGCAGCAGTAGCGCAGGACCTGGACGGCCTCGGCCGGGTTGAACCACGATGGGCTTTTTCCCTCCCGTGCCTCGCTGCCCTGGGTTGATGAAGAGGGAAAACCTCCTTCACTCCATGAATATTCGCCAGAAGGCTGCAATCCAGGAGCTGAAGTTGGTGCTGGGAATACACACTGAATATGACAGAACGAATCCCTGCTCTCACACACAACTTACATGGGAGCGGGGCAGACGGCACATGTTAAATGATGATGACATGGCTCACAGCCATGCGAAACGCTGCAGAGGAGGATGGTCACACGGGTCCACCACTTGGGTCTGAGCCCCAGAGTGGAGGGCTGGCTGGCTCATCTTCTTCTTCTTTTTTTTTTGATATTAGACCTTTGACATAGCTACTGTTCATCTTGAAAATACTCTTCCTTAGAAAACATTGATGAGATATACTGACATAAAAGACAGACATATAGATCAACAGGGTAGAATGGAGAACCTAGAAATAAACCCTTGCGTATACGGCCTATGGCCAGATGACTTTTGACAAGGGTGCCAGGACAGTTTTTCAACCAATGCTGCTGGAAACACTAGAGAGCCACATGAAAAGGATGAAGACGGACCCTCACCTGACACCACCTGGAAATGTAAACTCAAAAGTAGATGGAAGATCTAAACCTAAGACCTAAATCCATAAAATTCTTGAAGGAAAACAGGGAAAAAACCCCACAACACTGGGTTTGGCAATGATTTCTTGGATACGACACCAAAGCCACTGGCAATAACTAAAAGGGATACACTGGACTACATCCAAATGGAAAATGTCTGGGCATCAAAGGATGCAATCAACAATGTGAAAAGATAATCTGCGGAGGGGGAGAAAACCTTTGCAAATAGTATAGAAGAAATTAATATCCAAAACTATAAGGAAGTCTTAAACTCACTGACAAAAGGCGACCCAATTAAATATGGGCGAAGGACCTGAATTCTCCAAAGGAGACATACAAATGGCCAACAGGTGCATGAAAAGCTGCTCAAGGTCACAAATCGTTGAGGAAATGCAAATCAAAACTACAGTGAGCTATACCTCACTCCCACTAAGATGGCTACTATAAAACAATCCAGAAAATAAGTAGTGGTGAGGACGTGGGGAAACGAACCCTGTGGCACTGTTGGTGGGGTGTGGAATGCTGCAGTTACTGTGGAAAGCAAGATGATGGTTTCTCAAAAAATTAAGACTAGAATTACCAACAATTCCACTTCTGGGTATATACCCATGAGGACTGAAAGCAGGGTCTCAAATAGATATTTGTACACCTGTTATAGCAGCACTACTCACAACAGTCAAATATCTGCAGCCCAAGTGTCCACTGATAGATGAACTGATAAGCCAAGTGTGGTGTATACACACAATACAATGTTACTCAGCCCCCAAAAGGGAGGAAATTCTAACACACACTACAACATGGATGAACCTCGAGGACAGGATGCTCAGTGCAATAAGCCAGTCACAGGACAAACACTCCATGATTAATTCCACTTATATGAAGTACCTAGAACAGCTGAATTCATACAGTCAGAAAGTAGAATGGTGGCTACTAGGGGCTGCAGGGAAGAAAGTTACTGTTTCATGGGTACAGAATTTTTTTTTTTTTTTTGAGACGGAATCTCGCTCTGTTGCCCAGGCTGGAGTGCAGTGGTGCTATCTTGGCTCACTGCAAGCTCTGCCTCCCGGGTTCACGCCATTCTCCTGCCTCAGCCTCCCGAGTAGCTGGGA